GTGCACTGCAGTCTCGTCTAGCCACCAAAATTTCTTAGTGGTTCTGGAGTTGTCGTTGAAGTCAATCTCAGGAATGACCATTGAGTACAACCGAGGGATGTCATGGGTGACATTGGTTGGTATTTTTTATCATTTTTGTGTCTACTGAAATGGTAGATCGTAGGCACGTTGTTATGATCTTGTATTATTCCCAAACGATCAAAGTAGGTGAAAGCTTGGGGTTGGATATACCCTGATGAAGCTTCATGAGCAGTGATGACTGGGTCAACAATGCTCAATTTTTTTACAGTGTCGTTGTTTATGGTGGTGAGACCTTGGTAATAGTTACGAGTGAGGTATAGGATGAAGTTATCTATCCTCGTGATATTTGCTGTATCGTATAAAGTCTTATTATTAACACGGCCTTTGTACCCCGAATCAGGGGTTGTGTAGAGTCGAAGAGATGCGCGCAGGCAACGACGTTCGAAGCATCTAATTTTTTCCATTTGAGCAGCCCCTAGGTTCCACCAGGCCGGGCAGGCATACGTGAGGAGGGGTCTTACCAAAATCAAGTAGCATATGATGCGAGCTCGTTTGGAGATATGAGAGTTATGAAATAACCGTGTGAGCGATCTGAAGCGAGTGGTGGCCTTCGTTAGTTGAATATCAGCATGTGTTGAGCATCGGATGCGGCAGTCTATGTGCATGCCCAGGTATTTTACAATGTTTTTCGTGGGAATGATGATTGGCTCACGAGTGTCTGGGTGGAACGTGGTAATTTCAAATGTGATTTTTTTGTGTGATGTGAGAAGAGAGTAAGGCTTCCTGAGGAGTATAGCCTCGCATTTACTGGGGTTCATCCGAAGATTCCAAGTCGAATATAAGTTATTGACTTTATTCACCAGGGTTTCCATTTGATTCTCGATATTGCGAATGGATTTGTCAGCGATGTAAATTATGAGATCATCCGCATAAGCGATTGATCTCGATGGGCCACCTGAGTTCATTCCGAAGGCGTTCAGAATGTCACTGGTGTAGATGGAGAATAGCACAGGCGAATTCACTGTGCCCTGTTGAAGGCCTTCGCGAATGTCAAAGTTTAGAGATGATGTCATACCATTTCCACTGATGCAGAAGTGCTTGTTACGAACCATATCCCATATCATTTTTATGAGGTGTAATGAAAATTCTTTTTTAATAAGTTTGAAGATGAGACCCTCCAACCAAACTGAATCAAATGCTTTCTCGAGATCAATCAAAGTGGCACCCACGAAGTTTCTTCTACTGATCTCGAGATTGGCATCTAAAAGCAATTGATTTATTGCGTGAGTTGTTGAGTGGCGATGTCGAAACCCAAACTGTGTGTCTGGGATGATATTGTTGTCGTTACATTGGGAGACAATGGCTGTGTTTATGATGCACTCAAATACCTTGCTGATGGTAGGCGTGAGGTTGATTGGCCTGTAGCTAGAGGGTTCTGATGGAGGTTTCTCCTTCTTCAGAAGAGGTAGGACTGCCCATATATAACTGCTTTTATTCCTTGTTATGCTAGTGCAATCATCCGGGACGCTGAAAAAAAGTGATATAACCGTTTTTATCATATTTGACGAAGTGCGACTGATTCTTGCTTGTTTCTGGAATATTTTTTTGCAATATTAAAGTGGAAAAAAATGGATTTGGAGGCGCCGGGTATCGATCCCGGTACCTCTCGCATGCTAAGCGAGCGCTCTACCATCTGAGCTACGCCCCCTGTTGAAGGTCTTAGACAAAATGAGCACTTTTTCCTCCGGGAGACACGTTTACAGCCACCTCTGTGAAGAAAAAAAAAATATACAAAAAACAGATGAATTCTACTTATTTCAGTCTTCCTTACTTTGACGGTTACGCTTGTCAGAAAGGAAGTACTATTATTTTCACATCATAGTCATCACCAAATGATGGTGTATTGCCAATAACAATAACTTGGATTGAATCGAGTCTTAATTATCAATCGAATTAGATGAAGCTTCAGTCACCCAAGAAGTTCAGAAAACTTTCATATTGTAATATACCAAGATGCGATGAGGATTCATTGTCCAACATTATAAACTTTAATCCTCTTGCAGGAATTATGAACATGTATTACTTCTTTCAAAATCTTATAGCACTGAGAACTTCCAAAATCAATTCATTAGACTTCCGGATTACGATCTGATAATTGTGATTTTCTAGGTGCGGTTACTGCTTGATGCTGCAAGATTCTGACCAGAGTATCTAGATCCAGGAGTGAATTCTATTCTTATTCCCTATTTTGATTAGTCAAATCCCGACTGGTTCTGTATCCGATCTGGTACTGATCAGAAAGGTCCGATTTTAGTATTTTGATCAGGCAGTTCCAAATAAGCATTACGGTTCTTATCTTAAATTGATCAAAATCAGTTTGTACTGATCAGTGCCTTATTCTAGTCTGATTTCAGTTTCCAGTCGAGAACTACAACTTTTGTATGATGTTAATCTCATGTAAATTATACTGATATCACTTTTGTCGAGACGGTTCCCCCTACATTCATTAATACTATGTATCATTTGACAGTAATGAATACAGAACGAATTAAAGATATTGTAAATGATTATGAAGTGAAATGTATATAGAAACAAAGCTTACATGTTCATCCTGTGTGGCAGAAAGAAGCAGGCACGTGTAACCTTCTTCCAATGTAGATTGCTATCTGGAGTACTTGTCTCATCGACCAAAAAAATACACTAAAAAGAAGAATCAAGTTAAGAATGAGCAATAAAGTAAGTCGTAAATTGGAATGACGTGGAAAATGAATACTGACTTCATGTATTTTTTTACAAGTTTGATTCAACTCCGATTCGCCAATAGTGAGTAGTCAAAGGACCACTGTGAACCACTGAAGACTAATATTCTCTCCAATTTGGTCGTATCACACCCGGAAATATTAATGAGGTAAAAACACACGTTCGTTACAAAAAAATATGATTCCAGGATTATTAATTAACGAATTGTGAAGCACTTCGTGAACTCCTTGGAAAGGAAGAGAATGGTGAGTAAATTCGATAAGGTTTGCATGGTAAAAGTAACCCTTCCTAACTGACGTGTCCTGGATCCAGCAAGGATAAACTTGACAAAAATTTGAAATTCAACTTGATAGATCGGACAGACCAATTGCTTGAAGGCGGACTTTCTTAACTCCTCCAGTACGAGGTCCATATGCAAGGACAATTTGGGCGCTGAAGGTCCCGAATTCGAGGGGTTAACACGGAAAAGCATTAATTTTTTCTCCAATACTGGACGTGTTGCTTTAAGAACACATGTTCAAGAAATAGTACTTTTTCTCGAGTTTGATTAAATCGAAACTCCGGACAATAAAAAAAAAAACATTTTTGTTTAATGAGGGCAAAACGATATTATGGAACGAAAGATTACGCCTAACAAAGTTGTTTTGCTGAGCAATACGTTCATATTTCTATCATAACCACCATATTATTTATGTGGTAACCTTCACAACAGTGCTGTCAAGTTTGCACAATGTGCCTGTCTTCCTTCAATGATATTTTTTTCTTTTTAAGGTTAATACCCCACAGAACGGTTACGCAATTCTCAGCATATGATTCTTGAGGAATTGTTTGTAATTTTTTTTTACAATTCGATCATCACATTTGACACAGATATTTTTTTGCATCTGTTCCAGATAATTTCTGTCTTGGAGTAAATTTCGGATATTCTTTGCGGAAGTGCCAACTTTTTTCATGGTGACGCGTGTGTTACCTTGATTCCAACAAAAGGATCTACTGATTGTGGAAAAACCAACCATCTGGAAAATAATGACCAAACTCATGATCGGAAAGCTACATACAATGTTTAAACTGATCCAATCATATTAGTGTTATAATTATGGTCATTTATTACGCAAGTGATACCTAATTGTCGACTATTGTATAACTGAACACATGGATTGAATAACTATTTGCTATGAGAACAGTCGAGTCGATATTGATAATCAGTGCTTCGCAATAAACTACATATTTGAAGAGCTAGTTGCATGATTCTCAAAAAATTAAAAAAATTAGGGCTCGTCCGGGATTTGAACCCGGGACCTCTCGCACCCTAAGCGAGAATCATACCCCTAGACCAACGAGCCGCACTTAAAATTACAACTTTCACGGACAACCGCCAGAGATCGGTATGGAAAAAATCGAGGACACCGTCCATCCGCCTCAAGGCAGAAAAAAATCTCATCTTCCGTCATACAAACTATACGTATGGAGCTCTTCGTTACCTAAACAGTTTTGACCCAATTAGGAGATTCTCAAAAGTAGTTTCTAGATCCCACCCGTTCGCGGAGAAGTTTTTCAGTCTTCTATTGGCAATGACTGTTTTCATTGACCCCATGTTATGGGAGAAAAAAAAATCCACGTCCTCGGATTATATAAGAACGTCGATCCTCCTTTATAAGATTCATAGAAATTATTGTTCTTTATAATAATTAGCGATCGTGATAATAAGCAATCCCGTAGTAAAATCCATCGATTCGTATACTCAATGTCAGGGTCATCCACTGAGAAGAAGATCGGAATTCCGTTCTCTCAGGTACCGGATAGTATAAGTTGTATAATATCGGGGAAGTGACGGTCACGCAAGATTTTCCATAAGCCAATCAATGTTCGTGGTTATCCCTAAAGACCATACGCTCCAATGAACACTGACGTGCAGAAAAAAAATTGTATAGAAAAGGTGGTGGTTGCTTAGAGTAACAATTTCCTTAGAACAGCCTAAGAATGGAATAGCTCATGCACAGACAAACTTATGTACCCCATCTGCACTGAAGATATATAAAGGGACTAAGTCGTAGTTTAGAACAGTCTTACACGAGAGTTCACAGTTGGCAAACTTCCAAAATATCATAGTTATTACCGGTGGGCTATGTGATTAATTGTTCCATTCCAATAGTTGCACGTTTTGGGAAAAAATCTAACACTATCTCAGAAGATTAACAATTATTCTTGCTCCAAACTGTGAGAACTTTCTCTGAGTCTGGTAAATATACTTATCTCTATCTTAATGTATACATTTATTGTAATTGTAACCTCCATATTTCATTTTTATTTGTCATTCTGAATTTCACTCGGAGTATTATACTCTTCCTTTTTCAAATTTATATGGTGAAAAACCTTGGATACTAGATGAGGAGAAAATTTCACGGATTTTTACGGGAGAGATATAATTAGGGAGACGTGTATATTTAAACCCACACACAGAGGAAATCAATTCTCTTTTGTAGCGTACATGAGAAGCGTTAGCAAATGTGGAGTGTACTAAATGAAATTATGGATCAAATAATGGTCTAAGTTCTAAGATCATAGCTCCATATAAAATGTAATAAAAATGTCAGCATTAAATTCGAAAGTTTAGTTGGGATACTTTACGTCCCAATAAACAAATTAAACGTAATATTTTCAAATGCAACATTACACGTAGTTGGCTCATGTTCATTTTTAGGGATTACAGAGAAAGTCCGGTGAAAGTTTTAAATGTGGTATGAGGTATAAATATTCGTCACCTTCATCTTCCGCGGTCCATTCGACAGTAAATCTTCGATGAATCCGGTTGTAACCAACGAAATGGAAATCGGTCAATCACAGGATCGTGTTAATCATCAACATTAATCACTTTCGTTCATCGTGTTATATAATCAGATGACATATTTCGACCAAATGTTGTGACAATCTAGGTAGTTCTATCAACATACTGAATTGCAAATATTTTCTTTAAGAGCATTTCAGATTTCGGAAGTGATAACCCGTAATCATGGAAAACAAAGATTTTCTTGAGTTCGGAAAAGCGACTCTTGACTTCATAGTTAACTATAATGATACCCTGAGGGAAAGAGATGTTCTGCCAAGTGTTGAACCCGGTTATTTGAGCGAACTAGTACCAGCTGAAGCTCCAGAGAAGCCGGAATCTTGGCAGGAAGTTTTGAGTGATGTAGAACGAGTCATATTGCCAGGAGTGAGTGCATTTTGCAAGTTATGAAGCAGTTATATTGAGAGAAAGGATTACTAAAACCCAAATTTTTATAATCAATGGAATTATTCAAGTTCAAATTGGCTATGAAACAAGCAAAAACATCAGAATTAGTTTCCAAGTTTAGTAATCTGTTCTAATCTGATAGTGAAAAGAAATGAAAACTGTCATTTATGCAAAAACTAGGTAACACATTGGAATTCACCACATTTCCATGCCTACTATCCAACTGCCAATTCCTATCCAGCCGTAATGGGTGAACTCATGAGTGCCGGGATAACAACACTCGGATTTTCCTGGATATCATCACCTGCCTGCACCGAATTGGAAGTCGTTACTATGAATTGGTTGGGGAAAATGATGGGGTTGCCAAAAGAGTTCCTGAACTGTAGCGAAGGACCTGGTGGCGGAGTTCTACAGGTATTTACCGTCTCTGTATTGTGAAATTAAATGAATGAGAATGTCGAGTCGGTATAGTACACACAAGAGGCATCGATATCGCTGAGTTATCTGGTCGATTTTGGACTAGTTGAAATGTAATTACATAGAATTAACTCGTTCACAAAAACCTATAAGTGTCCACAGTCTTCGGAATTCGAAAGAATTTTGAGTAAATTGAAAAATAAAATTTCAAAAAAATGAGGGCTCGTCCGGGATTTGAACCCGGGACCTCTCGCACCCTAAGCGAGAATCATACCCCTAGACCAACGAGCCAACTATATTTACTACAGCAAAATGAAGAGTATAAAAGTCGCAGGTCTGGATAACATATTCCATTCGTTAATAAAACTTATAAAAATTACAACTTTCAGGGTTCGGCAAGTGAATCAACTTTGGTTGGCCTACTGGCAGCGAAAGAGCGCATGGTTAGGCATATGAAACGCCAAGATCCAGATTTGGACGCTGGGCTGTTGAAAGCAAAATTCGTAGCCTATACTTCAGGTAAATTGAAATTATTGAAGTCATCTCATACTTTTATTTCAACTGCTATACGTTTCAACTCTTACCTTCTACTTTCTCACTCTTCAGACCAATCGAATTCGTCCGTTGAGAAGGCGGGACTCCTAGGCTCAATGCCGATGAGATTGTTACCGGTTGATGAAAACTGTTCTCTTCGGGGAAAAACTCTTCGAGAAGCGATGGAGAAAGATAAGAAGGCTGGTCTCATCCCCTGTTACGTGGTTGCAACCCTCGGAACCACCGGCACTTGTGCCTTCGATAACCTGAACGAGATCGGACCAATCTGCCAAGAGAATAATGTCTGGCTTCACATAGACGCTGCCTATGCAGGTATGTTAGCCATTCTCTATAAAATATCAATCATCGAAGCAGTCTTTCTCTAATTTATTCTCAATAATTTCGATTGAAGGTGCTGCCTTCGTATGTCCTGAATACCGACACCTCATGTCTGGAGTGGAATATGCTGATTCCTTCAATTTCAATGCTCACAAATGGCTTCTCACTAATTTCGATTGCTCGGCTATGTGGTGAGTTTCCAATTTTTTAAAAGATATATATTAGATTAGAATCGGTTGTTACATCCTTTGTCTGTTCTAGGGTGAAGGATGCTGGACAACTCATTAATGCCTTCAACGTCGACAGAATTTATTTGGCTCATGACAAGCAAGGACTAGCACCTGATTACAGGGTAAGTAAATCTGACTGATTGCTGTCATCCGCATATTGAGAGAGAACAATTTCCGGGATTGCAAAAATATTTATAACTTAATGTCTTCTAAAAAAGATCATAAATTCTAGGAAGAACCAAATTAGTTCCATATAAGGCTGAACAAAATTGCATTGCTGCTGTAAAATTATTCGCATACACTTTGTATAAAAAAATCCATTCGTTCCACTTTAAAGTTGAATAATTATGCGCAAGAATAGTGGATCGTTTGCATATGTTTGAAGAGATTATGAAACAAACTTGAAAAGAGAACGGAACTGCAATCCAGCTCCACCAGAATGGGATGCAATTCCACGAAATTTTCCCTCTTAATTTTGAAAATTTATTTCTGTAGCACTGGCAAATACCTTTGGGCCGCCGATTCAGATCTATGAAATTATGGTTTGTAATGCGATTATATGGAGTCGAGGGTCTCCAAAAACACATACGTCATTCAATAGAAATGGCAAAAAGGTTTGAATCACACGTACTATCTGACAACCGTTTTGAACTTGTCACCCAAAGATCTATGGGCCTCGTCTGCTTCAGAATGAAGGTAATTTTGGACTTGATGAGCTTAACCCGGGAAATTCAATTTTTTCCTTATCATACTAATGTAATGTGTAAATGTTTCAGGGTGACAATTCACTGACACGCCAACTCCTTGATCGATTAATGGCGAGAAAGCACATCTACCTGATTGCTGCGACTTATCGCGAGAAATTGATAATCCGTTTTGCCGTATGCACTCATCTTACTAAAGCCGAGGACATCGATTTTGCATGGAACGAGATAAAAGGACAGGGAGATGAAATACTATCAGCGAAATTGCAACAGGAGATCGCATTGAAGAAAGAGGAGGAAAATTTGAGTAGCGAGTATTCTGGGAAAGAAGGCGGAATCGCAGCTCGGTTGAAAAATATGAAGATTGAAAATGCAAAACTATCACAAAAAATATCGTAATCAGGAGTCATTGTTAATATGAATACGCGTAATCGACATAAGTTATTATTTTAAGTGTTAATTATCAAATGCAATTATCTTAAAAGTTGTTTATAACTGTTCAATGATTATTGTTATGCACTTGTGCAATGAGTGATAGATAATAATAAAAATAAATCAATAAAATGTATGATCGCAAGTGTACTTAGTTGCCTACTAAAAAACCGGAAACTCCCATTTTTCTTTCAGTACAATTTTTTTGGAAAACAAATTTTAATTAGGAGTCTGTTGTATTTTTTTATTGATTTTAATAATTAAGAATTAAAAAAACAAAAAACTTCGATTTTTCTCTCAATCCAATTTTTTTTTGAGAAAAAATTTTAATTAGGATTCTGTTGATTTTTTATCGATTTCAATAATTAAGAACTAAAAAAACAGAAAACTCCAATTTTTGTTCAAGTCCAATTTTTTTTTAGAAAAATTTTTAATTAGAATTTTATTTTTTTATAGATTTCAATAATTAAGAAATTTTTGCGTGCGATTTTAGTACATATTAGATTAAAAAAACATTAATTGTGATTGGGATTTTTCCTATAAGAATTCCTCAGCATTAATTTCGTGAGTTTTTCTTTATTTCCTAATGGAAATGAAAAAATCCACCAGGAAAAATTGGAAAGGCGTATGCCGAGGAATTTCTGTAGAAAAAATGTCCAGAGAAGAAAATTTGTGAAATTTTTAGTGGAAATCGGCGAAAAACAAATAGGATTTTCTACCAAACGACTTTTCGCCAGATTTTTTATTTTTTAATACCTCTGAATCTGTCGAATTTGCGGAATATTCATAGAAATTATTTTTGTAGTTCAAATTTTCCTTCACAAAAATAATTTTCGTATAAATGTTTCATCCCGTTTCCCCTCGAGACATTCAACGAATTTCACAAAGTGGAAATGACTCACCTCGTTCTGCACTTCATTACTTTTATGCTTCAGCAAAAGATTGACTATCACTTATGAAAAAAAAAAATACACCTCACTTAAATGAACTGAAAATTGTATTGTTCATCTCCTGAATTTGTGGAGTCTCCGTTAAATCAAATGACTTATTAAAAATGACTCTTTTCGACTCGCGAGAAAATTCCTTTGTTCATCTCCGAGAACAACGGACTAAACGCGTTGTGAAATTGTTGTCAGCTGTAGTCAGGCGAGAAATGAATCACTTTACTGTCCCCTTATTCCCAAAATTTTATAGAAACTAGTTTATTATCGAGAAAATGATTGATAAGTTGAATTGAATTCTACGGAGACGTTTATTTCCTGCTTTTGTAATACGAATTTGAGGAGCTCGTTCCACCGCACTTCCACAACATACACTAATCCGCCATCTTGTGCTCAGCTGAACAACTCGAGCTCAAGATTTCCGCCCTGCATTACCGACCAAACGGGCGGGAAAATTAGAACCTCCTTTTAATGAACAATCGAATGTCTCGCAAAACTGTCATTCGTGTGATTTTGACATGACTTTGTATCGTTTATTTTTGTTTATCACGAGAGTTTCAGTGAATAAATTGTAATTCCGACCGCTTATTCATGAAGAAGGAAAAATTACGAGTCTAATGTGAAATATACCGGATGAGATGCTCCTAGCGCGAATCCGGCTTCGGCTCTGGAGACCACCAAAATCAATTACGAGGTAATTTTTTAATACAAGAAAAACTAACCAAGGGGATGCAAACAAAATGAGGGAATTTTCTCGCTAGATTTTTTGCGAAAGAGAAAGGATCGGAAGTGGTAAAGAAAACCCCTCCACCATGTCCGCAGGGTCTGAAACTGGAGTCATGCCAGTTGGACCCTTGTATGTTGGATCCATGCAAACCAGAACCAACGGTGGTGATCATCGGAGCGGGAATGGCAGGACTATCGGCTGCTCATCGACTGGTCCAATGTGGACTGCAAAATTTCACTATTCTAGAGGCTACAGACAGGTTTTAATTCGAATAATAATATAAATTCGCGGGTTCTTATTATTAATAAGATTATTACACAGCCACAGACAAAAAAAATTAATAGAGAAATTTAGCGAATTTGCTAGGGAATTCTATTGGATTTCTATTGAACTTCCATTGAAAATTCTAGCAGTTTTTGATCTTCAAACTGCGCTGATTTATTAAAAAATTCCGCAACTTGACTGCGTGTTTTCTCTATAGACAATATTCGATAGAAACTATTTTATTGGAAAACTTGGTGGAATTCAATCATTTCATACCATTTTTTCTATTAAAATATTTTCTACAGGAATTTATTGACAGAAATGTTTAAAGTTTTTTTCACTCTATAAAAAAAACTTGGAAAATTTCAGTCGATGGCTGAACGTATAAAAAATAAAATTCTACTGAGATGTTCCCTATTAAATATTTTCTCTTAAATTTTCATTGGAAGAAAAAGTGAAGAAAAACTGCAGAATTTATGAATAGAATTGGCGAAAAACTAATAGAATGTCCAATAAAAATTCAATACAAGTCGAATAGAATTTTCCACCGAATTTACAAAAATGTTCTATTTAAATTTTCATTTTAATAATATAAATTTGGGGCCAAGTAAGTGAATAGGACAGGCCGATGTAGAATATCAAACTAATTAATTCAGTAGCGAAGTGGTAAAACGATTCAAGTGAATTGTGACTCTTGCCCAGTTTTCGATGTATATCTCGAGATCTAAGAGAGATAGCAAAATTTTTATTATGAACTTTTTTGTAGTCTTTAATTCACTCTACAAAAAAGGTCATTATAAAAATTTCGTTATCTTCCTTAGATTCACAGATATTCTTTAAAAACTCAGCCAAGGAATAATAATATATTTCGATACGAGTGCGTAAAAGTGTTTTTTGACCAGTGGTAGGTGTGTAGCTCTCGCCGAAGGCGAGTGCTACCCTCCTAAGGGCCAAAGAACACTTTTATCACTAGTGTCGAGCCGTATTTTTCATCACGATGTGTGGAAAGTGGGATTTTGCGCACGTGAAGCGTGCTAAAAATTTCACTTTCCGCACAAGTGACGAAATATACTATTTCCTTGCAAAAAACAGACCAGGTGGACGAATTCACTCCTGCTGGCTGGGAGACGTCGTAGCAGAGATGGGGGCGGATTGGATCGAGGGTGGCTGCGTAGCAAATCCAGTCTTCACCCTGGCAGCCCAAGAGGGCCTCCTAAAACATCCCCTTTTTCGAGCAGAGCCCACGAAAAGTCTTTTCTGCACGAGCGATGGTCGAGCAATCGATCTTCCCGTCAGCATCACCGCTTATCATACTTTTAAACAAATTGAGCAACAAGCAGCTGCGTTATTCTCTCTGGGTTGTGGTCGAGCTCACGGAACTCTGTTAAATTTCATTGGCGTGAGAATTCAACAGGAGTTGCACAATTTTCCGGAGGAGCAGAGGTAGAAAAAAATCGATGGTTTTTTTTCTATTCTAATTGATAATTTAAAAAAATTCCGTTGAAGATTATGCCACTTTACCGTCTTATTTTTTTTAATTTTTTAAAGAAAATATTTGAGAGAATAAAGTCGATGAATTTTTATTTTTCTATAGAAATTCTAGAGCATAAATTTTCTCCCCTGTATTATTAATTAATTCCTATGATAGAATCCAAGAAAAACATGAAAATTCAGACCCCACAAATTTTGCAGAAAAAATTTCAACAGAATGAGCTATATAAAAAATCAATATATATTCACACGAAAAAATTTAAGAGAAAAATCTAGCGAATCTGTCAGACAATTCTACTGGATTTCTATTGAGCTTTCCATTAGTTTTTGACTGATTCTATTAGAATGTTCAATAGAAAATATTCAATAGAATACAACATATTCTATTGACATATTTTCAGTAGAATTTCCTCAGCTCAAAATTAAAAAATTTTTTTCCTTCCATTTTTCTTTTTTTTTCCTCAAGAAAATCAAACAAAAAATTGAAAAATTTGAGCTGAGGAAATTCTATAGAAAATATCTCAGTAGAATAAGTTGCAATTGAAAAATTGAATTATATTAATTTTTTTTATAGACTGTTTTCTATTAAACGGAATCTAATAGAATTGTCTGGCGTATTTGTTGCTACTTCTATGAAATGTTTTCATACGTGTACTTTTTCCATGAAGGAATATCTATTGAGAAAAACCCAGCGAAGTTAAATAATTTTTAAAAGAATTGCTGATGAAAAACAAACAGAATTTTTACATGACATTCTCATAGAATTCCAATAGCAATTCAGCAAAAGTTTATCGTGCAAAATTTACATTTCAGGTACGACGCTGCCAGAGTTATGTACGGAATGACGAATTTAGTGAGATGTCGATGTGGCGATGACCTATCTATGGTATCGGCTGATCAATTCGGAAGTTACATTGAAATTCCTGGGGGAAACGTCAGGGTTCCCCTTGGATACGTCGGCGTATTAGCTCCACTCCTGAGAGATCTGCCGAGTTGTTCTTTGAGGTATTGTCTCCCTGATACTACCGTACACGCACGAAACAATTTCAAAGAGAAATCTAGCAAATTCGATTAAAAATTCTGTGGACTTTCTATTCATTTTATTTTTGTTTGGTCCTTTTTTTATTCAAAGGTACATCATATATTTACAGTATTTACATTATTAAAATATTTTTTTTAAAGTTATATACATTTTTTCACATTTTTATTTGGTCACGTGATGAATCTCGATTTTTAAGTTTCGTATTGTTCTTCTTTGAGTTTTTCTACACTATTTACGTGTTTCAAGTGTGAATTATCGATTACAATTAGGTATTGCTTAGTGTTACGTCAAAAAAATACAGAAAATTAATTCTTCAATTTTTGTTGCATCTGTGGGAGAAAAAAGCACTCATTTCAGTTGAAAATTCTATTAATCTTCGACCGATTCGATTGAAGAAAAAATTAGTAGAATTTAATCTTTCTACTGAGACAGTCCCCGACTTTCTATTCATTTTATTTTTGTTTGGTCCTGTTTTTATTCAAAGGTACATCATATATTTACAGTATTTATATTATTAAAATATTTAAAAAAAAATTATATACATTTTTTCACGTTTTTATTTGGTCACGTGATGAATCTCGATTTTTAAGTTTCGTATTGTTCTTCTTTGAGTTTTTCTACACGATTTACGTATTTCAAGTGTGAATTATCGATTACAATTAGGTATTGCTTAGTGTTACGTCATAAAAATACAGAAAATTAATTCTTCGATTTTTGTTGCATCTGTGGGAGAGAAAAAGTACTTATTTCAGTTGAAAATTCTATTAATCTTCGACCGATTCGATTGAAGAAAAAATTAGTAGAATTTAATCTTTCTACTGAGACAGTCCCCGACTTTCTATTCATTTTATTTTTGTTTGGTCCTGTTTTTATTCAAAGGTACATCATATATTTACAGTATTTACATTATTAAAATATTTTTTTAAAAATTATATACAATTTTTTCACGTTTTTATTTGGTCACGTGATGAATCTCGATTTTTAAGTTTCGTATTATTAGTCTTTGAGTTTTTCTACACTATTTGCGTGTTTTAAGTGTGAACTATCGCTTACAATTAGGTATTACTTAGTATTACGTCAAAAAAATACAGAAAATTAATTCTTCGATTTTTGTTGCATCTGTGGGAGAAAAAAGCACTCATTTCACTTGAAAATTCTATTAATCTTCGACGGATTCGATTAAAGAAAAAATTAGTAGAATTTAATCTTTCCACTGAGACATTCCCCGACATGAATTTCGTCAAGTTTTTTTCACTATTTTTTCTTCTCTTTTCAGTGAAAAAATCAAACATAAAAAACTCGAAAAATTTAAGCCATGAATTTCTATAGAAAATATCACAATAGAATAAATTATATAGAAGAATCAAATCCTATTGATTTTTTTATAGCATATTTTCCATTGAATTTCTGCGCAATTTTTTAATACAATCCGCCAAGAACGAATAGAAATTTTCATAGAATTCTAATACAATTTGCCAGCCAATTCGCTAGTTTTTTCTATGAAATTCCATGGTATGTCTAATTATCGAAATTAGCAACCATAACATGCATTGTTTCCTCAGGTACTGCAAGCCTGTGAGTTGTGTGAGATGGGGAGCAGTGAGTGACTTCTGTCCTCGTGCGGTCGTTAAATGCTGCGATGGCGAGGAATTTCTAGCTGATTATGTCATAGTCACTGTACCGCTTGGAGTATTGAAAAATCAACACGACAAACTCTTCTGTCCTGCATTGCCTGCAGACAAAGTCGATGCTATTTGCAAGCTTGGGTACGGATATGTCAACAAAATTTTTCTGGAGTATGCGAGGCCCTTTTGGGTTTGGAGAGAAGGGAATATAAACCTTGCGTGGTCAGCCGATGAACTTTCAGACAGATGCGATTGGGTAAAAGGTATATAAATTATATGTCTACAGGAAAAATGATCTGATAGATTAATTAGAGGCAACTTGACATGATGTTAACGAGATGAAATTCAACGAGAATGATTTCCTGTTCCACGAGATGTGAAAAATTCTAATTTATTTTATAGAAAAAGGACCAATTAGTTCGATTATTGGTCTGGTTCGAACACTGGTTGGTTCACCCGATACAAAGAATGTGGTTTATATATTTTTTTATATGAATTGGGCCAATTTAAGATATTTTTTTACATATTTTTCAAAACATGAATTTTTCCGTGCGGGTCATTTCTCGTGTAATGAAATCAAAATCAATATCTAGGAATTGCACACATCGAAGAACTCCCAGGTTCTCAACACGTCCTCTGCGCCCTGGTGAGTGGTCGTGAGGCCGCGGAAATGGAGCTCTGCTCCGATGAAGAAGTGGTGGAGTCAATCACCAGGACACTCAGACAATTCACTGGAGATCCGACACTTCCATATCCCTCCAACATCCTAAGGAGTAAGTGGTGCATGGATCCGCACTTCGCTGGGGCCTACAGCTATATGGCAATGGACAGTACAGTGGGACATCAGTGCGATCTCTCCAATCCTCTCCCTGGTAATGAACGAACAAAACAACCCTTGATGTTCGCAAAAAAAATTTTTTTCATCACGCTGTGACGAAAAGTGAACTTTTCATCACGCTGTGACGAAAAGTGAACTTTTCGGCACGCTCGGCGTGCCTAAAAATCCAATTTCCGACACATTGTGATGAAAAATATTGTTCGTAACTCGTGAAAAAATGTTTTTTAGCTCGTGGGATTATATCACTCGCCTTCAGCTCGTGATATAAACCTCCCACTCGCCAAAAAACACTTTTTTGCACTCGTTAGGAAATATACTATTTCGAGAAAAAATTGTAGAATTTAAAAAAGGAACTTCCTCCCCCTGGGTCGGCAAGTTGAATGCATTCTCTCAACAGTTTTCCGTTTTTTTCAGGCTCTTGTGAACCAATTGCCCCAATATTACTATTCGCCGGTGAAGCAACGATCCCCGGACACTACAGTACAGTTCACGGAGCAAGATTGAGTGGAATTAGAGAAGCAGAAAGGATAATCCAACTCACGAAACGCTTCGGTGGACCCCCGAAAACACCTCCCGATGATAAATGCAAGCCTGCATGCCCCTGAATTGTAAGGGAAAAATTCCCTCGTCAAATCTCTGGCTGTGTACAAAATAAAACACCATAATTACACCTAACAATCATTTTTTTATTTTTCTTCTCAACGATCGTTATATGATATGATGACAACAACAATTATCACGTGGATATCGAATTTACATCGAGCTAAACGAATGGCAAGATAAGACATTGTTCCAGTACATTGAGAAAAAATTACTTTTGCTGAGGAACTATTTTCTTGAGAGATGAAATCATTCTTTCGAGAAGCACGAGAAAAAGAACGATGTCGAACAATATTTTTGACAGTGATGTTACGTTCAGCGAGTGGCTGAACTTCTTGATGCTTTTTCGTTTACAAGTAAACGAAAAGACTTTCTGTTCACTTGTTTTTTTTACGAGTAAACGAAAAGGCACTTTTTGGCACGAGGTGAACTTAGGAGCAGTGTCAAAATAGTATATTTCGTTACGAGTGCGGAAAAGAGTTTTTTGCCTTCGTGCTCGAAGGCTTCGTACTCGCCTTCGGCTCGTGCTATAAACCTCCCACGAGCCAAAAAACACTTTTCCCACGAGTATCGAACGATATTTTTCATCACAATGTGTGGACGCGTGCCTAAAAAGTTACTTTTTATGTCAGCGTGATGAAATAGTATATTTCGTCATTAGTTATTATTTCGTCCACGCCTTCGGCTCGGGCTGTAAACTCATATTCGCCAGAAAAGTTTTTGTCCGTCACATGACGAACTAGTATATTTCGTTACGAGTGCGGAAAAGTGTTTTTTGGCTAGTGGAATTAAATCACTCGCCTTCGGCTCGTGCTATAAACCTCCCACTAGACTAAACACTTTTCCCACGAGTATCGAACAATATTTTTCATCACAATGTGTGGACGCGTGCCTAAAAAGTTACTTTTTCGCACAGCGTGATGAAATAGTATATTTCGTCATTAGTTATTATTTCGTCCACGCCTTCGGCTCGGGCTGCAAACTCATATTCGCCAGAAAAGTTTTTTTCCGTCACATGACGAACTAGTATATTTCGTTACGAGTGCGGAAAAGTGTTTTTTGGCTAGTGGAATTAAATCACTCGCCTTCGGCTCGTGCTATAAACCTCCCACTAGACTAAACACTTTTCCCACGAGTATCGAACAATATTTTTCATCACAATGTGTGGAAAAGGGACGTTTCGGACACGCTTCGCGTGCCTAAAAAGTTACTTTTTCGCACAGCGTGATGAAAAATATTTTTTGTCATAACGGCTGTAAGCAGTGATACACGGACGGATAGCGTCCGTGAAAGACTGCCGTACGGCCGGAATGACCACAAAAAATTCTTCTCCCAAAAAGGAATTCCTTCGCAAAAAGCATTTTTTCTCTCAGTGTACATAAGTACAACAGGTACACTCTCCATCTCCAACATTCTTGAATACTTTCCCGTTGGTCCCATTGAATAAATCATTGTTTCAGTTTTATTGCTAATATGCTATAGCTCGGTTGCTTATCCTGAGCTGTTGGACGCCAGCTAAATTTATTTATTGTCCTAACTGCAGCGGTATTTATCAAATGCATGTAACGGCACAAATATTTATTTTATAATTTTTTTTATTTTAGTAGTGAAGCGATAAAACGAACTTTCTCTGAATGTTTTTGCAGCCGAGATATATGAAGAATATTTTTTTCGTTTTTCCTTATTTGATGGTTATGGTCATCTTCATAATAATAAATTTAGCTGTAGATCATAGGAAAGAGGAAAGCTAAAATAATTGGCGAAACGTCGCGTCGTTAATAATTTGATGATCTCCAACTTAATTTTTTTGGCGGATTTGCTTTTTGATTTTTATTATTTCTGTCTTTGTTATTGTTAACTTGCACTTCTGACTTTTTAATACTAAGCTATTATACAGCTTATTGTCTTTCCCCCCTTTGCAATAAGGGTATTGTATCTTTTTCGCAAATAACCAAATCATCAACTTAATTTTTTTGATTGAATTTTCACCGCAAAAATGTCTTCGTGGAAATTCAACTAGTTGTATTAGATTCAAAAATATCTATCGAAAACTGACAATTAGATTTCGCCTGGAAATAACCCGCTGATTTTTTCGTCAATATCTCTGGAGAAAAATAAGAAATCGAAATTCCATGGAAATCTTTTTTAAAAGATTTTTAAAATTTGTCTATTACATTCCAAGAAATATATCGATGAAAATGAGTTTTCATGAATTTTGCATCGATCTGCAATAATTATTTTACAATTATTCGAGATATTCAAATCAGATAGCGAAATCAAATGAGGACTCTTTTTCAGTTCTACAAAAAAAATCTCCATGAAAATTTCGTAATTCGGCCTAAATTCGGAACATTTGCAAAGAAATCGAGTTGAGACATCTCGTTTTCACCGCTTCACTACCGGTTTCTCTACAATCTGTCATAATAAAAATAAATACCAACTATTCACCTACCGATATATACATAAAAAACTCAATCTCTAGTAATGTATTTACAAAACGAAAGAAAACGTCGAGTCAATTCGTTCCAGTCGCAAAATATCAGAGGAAAAAAGTCTGCGCCCAAGGTAAATTTGATTGCGGAATAAATCCCACGTACAGGTGATTAAAAACTATTGCGGAACGAGTGGGTGATCGACGGTGGGGGATAACATCGAGACACTTGTAACATCAAAGCAACTGTCATAATATCTAGAGACCCGCAGACTCGATCAGTGAAAGTTGCACAAGGTCGGTGTCAGCGGGTGCATGGCAAAGGTTCAAACTTGGTGATGTGTTTCTTCGACATTGATTAGGACTGATTGCAAGTGGCTGGGGCTAGTGCACGACAGCCACGTGTTATGTGCGCCCGCCATCACTTGGAGACTGATTGCTCCTCGAGGACCTCGTCAGCGCGAAGTTTTATCTCCTTCCAGGAATTCTCGATGTCTTTGCTCTCGCTGAATCGTGAGCATATGGCCACACGGAGGAAGTACGTGTCGTTTATCTTTGAGGGGACTAAGTGGATGAGACCAGCGCCGTTGATCCTTTTCAAGAGGGTTTCGTTGACGTCATTTGAAGCCTGGCAAATTGAAGATGAGATGAAAATTCATTAAGGACGTTTATTTATTCTGGGGGAATCTCATTTTTTATTTTCGAGGGAAACTATTTAATTTTTTCTTCCGAATAGAAGTTTTGTAATTGATCGATTTTTTTTCTCTAATTTTGCTTGGAAATGACTTAGAATGTCACGAAACGTCGAGATATCATGTTTTTAGAGAATGTATGTGTGTACTTCCGTATGTGCATGCAAAATTCAGGGAATTTTTTTATAAATTTTCACAAAAAAGAACTAAAGTGAGAGATAAAAATCTAAAATTTTGGCTCGCAATTGGTATTGTTTGAGAGCACATCTAGGCGAAACTTCAGGTCAACCGGTCCAGTAGTTCTTGAGATACAGCAATTCCGAAAAAATTTTCTTTTCTCAATATCTCGAAAACTACTATCAAATGAACTTTTTTTTCTATACGAATTATTTCTATACATCAATTTTTACATCAATTTTTGTTTTCAAACAAAAGATGTCTAAACGCTCCAGAGAAAAATGTAGAGAAATTTCGCGACTCCATTCGAAATGTTTCTATACATGTGACAGTGGGTCCCATAGGATCAAACCTACAGAAATCATATAGAAATAATTTGTATGAAAAATATCCGTATAGAAAATTTGTATACGATTTTTTCATACGTGAAGGAGCGGTCACATCCCTTCTGACAGAAAGGCTCGGCCCCTGCGTATTTTTTTACTGAATTTAAAGTGATTGACCCTTTTTTTACCACCATTCAGATTTGTTGAATTCTTAAATTTAAATTACTGAATTTTTTCGGTTACGGAAACAAATGATTTGAATAGAGACATTTTCAATGAATAATTAAGATCATTTCCTGTATTTTTCAAAATTTTTCTTCATGAATACGCAGAAATTGACTAAAAATGGACCTGCATTTTTTCGTAAAAACTGAAAGTGAAATTGGCTGTAACATATGCCACCTGAAGGCTAAAAATAAACTGACCGCGTTCCTGCGAAGCACAAACCGTATGAAAGTCTTCAGCCAACGGATGTGTTAACAATACGACGTTTCAACACTTGACGAATCAAACAAATATAACTATGAATCCAGTTTTTGTGATAGTTTCCAACAGGATCAAGGTCGTTTTTAAGAAGTGAATGGAGAAGTTGAGTGCGATATTTACCTTGAGCCTGAAGCAAACAAGCCCGAGAACGACTTCAGCTACAATTTCAAATCGTGAATCACTGAGGACTAGTTGTTCAAATTCCTTCGCTAGGGAGACGTGCTTGCGTATGAACTTTTGGAGATTTTCTACTCCGTAGATGCGGAGGACGAACCAGAGTTTTAGGGCGCGGAAACGTCGTCCCAGGGGGATTTGCCAGTGCTAATGAGAAAAAAAATGGGAAATCGGTTAGACATTTCGTAAGGCGTATAAGAAATTACATGTATTTGCTTTTCGCATTGAAAAAATGTCTAAATCAAAGATCCAAATCGATTCAGAATTCGTGAAACGTTCAGTCGCGACAATAAAAGAATTTACGGCCCGGGTTTACTATCTTTCGAAAGTTATCTGTTTTTTTTTATCTTTCGTAATCCAAAATTGTCAATTGAGTGGTACATCATGTAGAAATTCCCAAAAATTATGATAGAATGATAAAAAAAATATAAAAAATTCTGAACTTTTTCAAACAGCGTTTTTAATTGGGATTCAGAATGAGTTGAAAAAAGTGGAAATTACAAATATCTGATTCGCTGTGGCAAATTATCTATTAGCTGTCATTTTCCATGGTGGATAACAAAACACTAACTCCTCATGGGAAGTGACAGCTAGGTGTCTCAATTTTCAAAACAGTGGTATGTGGTCATCTGCCAGTTTTATGTGATAAAAATGTGATTAAAAAATTCTCCAAAATATTACAACTTTTTTCAAAGAGCTTTTTCCGTAATCAATGTCTCTGTGCAGTGTGGGAAAAGATTTACGAAATCAGTCTTCCCCCTGCATGATATTGGGTGACAGGCCGCCATTTGTCACCGTAAATCAGATACATTTTTCAATTTCTTGTTATTCAACTTATTCTGAATATAAATTAAAAATGCTCTTTGAAAAAATTAAGAATTTTTTCTACTTTTTTTTGATTATTCATTCATAATTTTTCAAAACTTCTGGATGATGCAGAACTTAATTGACCATTTCAGATAACGAAAGATGAAAAACACATCGAGATAACGTTCGAAAGATAGTCAAACTTCGTTGACAGACTCATAATTTTTGTGGGTATGAATAATACACACCCTATAATCTGGTGCTGAACCCTGCATATCATGTTTCAAGTACAACGGATCTACATTGAACGCGTTTATCACATAAGTTGGATCCTTCAGCCACATGGTTGAACAATCAAAATTCACTAGCATCCATTTGTGTGGGTTGAAATTGAAGGAATCAGCCCTTTCAATTCCCTTCATCAAGTAACGAAATTCCGGGCAGATGAATGCAGATCCTGAAATCGAAAGACAAATAATTTAATTTAGTAATTTACGACAATTTGCAAATGAATTGTTTATTGATCTTTGAAATTATTTTTCATAAACATCTTTAAATGTGAACGAAATGAATAATTCAATTAACGGATGAATTAATTAATTCTCTCATTAAATTGACGAAAAAAACAGTTTTCAATCCACTGATTCATTCAGAATTCAATGAATAAACTCTTCTCTCTATTCAATTCGATTTATTTACATTAACATCACGAGATTTAATAAAAAATTTGTCTGGAGAATTTTTCCGTAAAGAAATCCCATTAGAAATCCATTTGCAAAAGCTCTTCGTTTTCAACATATTTTATAGATAATTTGGACACAAATCTTTTACTGATCTTTGGGATAATTTTTTACGAACGTTTTTAAATTTGAACGAAATGAATAATTCAATTAACGGATCAATCAATTGATTTTCTCATTAAATTGACGAAAAAGACAGCTCTCAATTCACTGACGAATTCAGAATCAAATGAATAAACTGTTCTCTCCATTCAATTCAATTTATTCACATTAACATCGCTAGATTTAAGAAAAATTTATCTAGATAATTTCTCCATAAAAAAATTCCACTAGAAATGGATTTCTACAAGCTCTTCATTTTCAACATATTTTAAGGATGACTTGCGTACAATTTATTTATTTATTTTTGAGATGATTTTTTACGAACATTTTTAAATGAGAACGAAGAGAATAATTCGATTAACGAATCAATCCATTAATTCTCTCATTAAATTGTCAAAAAAGACAGTTCTAATCCGCTGACTTATTCAGAATCAAATGAATAAACTTTTCTCTTCATTCAATTCAATTTAATTTTCGAAAATTTAACTTTTTTAGATTTTTTACGAACACCTTTAAATTTGAAGGAAATGAATAATTCAATCAATGAATAAATCAATTAATTATCTCATTGAATTGACAAAAATACCAGCATAAGCAGCATCAACATGCAGCCAGATTCCCTCCTCATTGCAGACAGGACCAATTTCATCCAATCTATCAAAAGCACAGGAGCAAGTAGTTCCTAAAGTGGCAACAGCGTAGAACGGAATGAGCCCCTTCTCTTTATCCTGTCGAATTACTTCAGCGAGAGTATCCCCCCTCATTTTATACTTGGCGTCCACATCAACGAGTTTGAATTGAACGCCACCAAGAAGTCCGGCACGTTCGACAGAACTGTGAGCCTGATCTGCAGCAACATGGAACGGTACAGAAATTGCAGCTAAACCACAAAAAGGTTTGATAACGAGTGACTTTCGAAAAAAATTTGTGGGCGGAAATTTCATCCTCTACAGAGAATGTCTTGTGACAGGGGAGAGTGGGGCAAAGTGGAACTTTCGTGATCGACTTTAAATCTTGTGATCTTTGTTCATAAACAGAGTTTTTAGAATTTTGAGTCGATGATAAACCTTCAGTTTTGCCTATTTTCTCTTATATTTTTTCATTAATATAAGGGACGATGTTTGTTTAAATTGTACTGCAGTAAAGCCTAAAAAAAAATTGAAAAATTTTGACATCTCATTTTCAAGTGTCTAGAAGCCCTATGTAATAATTATAAAACTGAAAAATCAATTATTTGAAATAATAATAATATTTCTTTTCAGTAAAAAATAATGGTAGTAATCTGTAATCCGATCAGTTCCGTAATCAGTTGCGTAATTTTTACTGAGCATTTCTCTCCCTGTCGGTAGTTGGAGTTTCAACTTTTTGTTCCGAAACTCCGGGCCATGTACCGTGTATAAACGAGTTTTTATTTATTTTTATATTGGCTGCCAGCGTTGGGACAATGGTGAAGTCACTGAATAATTGAATTCAATGAAAAATACAATATTGGCTGCCAACGTTGGGCCAATGTTGGCTACCAACGTCGGGGCAATGTTGAATTCAATGAATCATTAAATTCAGTTAAAAATCGATCACAATAGACATTCCAGACAGAAGCAAATTGCTAATTTATCAGCAAAAATACATTGGCTATGTTGTCACGAAAGCAATTTCCCACTTATTTCTCTGTAACTTATTGTGGACATAAATTATCATATAACAACAGAAGGCAGTTGGCAGAAACGTGAGAGTAGATTTTTCACGAGTTCTTTACAACTGAAATAAAGCGTTGATTCCCCAATTTCGAAGTCTACAAACGTTCCCGTAACTTTGAGTGGGTCGACGCGGGTCAGATGCGGGGTGGCAGTGGTCGGAATAACTCGAGTGGTTATTACGCGTCGTCATAGCGACAAAGTGCTGGCTGATGAAGTGCTAGGACGCCCTCAAAATCCACTCAACTCCACTCGTACTCATTTCGTTATATTGAAAGTATGATAGATATTTTCCACTGAAATGGGAATCGCGGGGACTTACAGGAGGCGTAAGCCACTAGTTTCCCAGTGATCTGTGTGTCGGTCCAGTCCGGATGCTCATCCTTCACTTGGCGAATTTTCTTGGCCTTGGCGCCCAGCAGAGCGACCAGGGTGGCTTCACTCGCTGTTCCCTGAATGACACCTCCGCCTTTTCCGCCGCTGCAAGCGAGGAACTCTTTGGGGAGGTCCAGCATTTTTCCTAGCCAGTCCAGCATCACTACTTCCAATTCTGTACATGCGGGACTCGCAATCTGGAGGGAAACGTGCACGGAAATAATAGAAAATTATTTTTTACTGGGGGAACATAGTAATTTTTAATATGAGAAATAGAGTGCAGGCTCATACCCGCCACACTTGAAAATTTATTATTTGACATAGTAATTTTGAGAAATAATGAAAAACTTCGACGCGCACGGAGAGAAATATTCAGCAAAAATTACGGAATAATTCGGTAATTGCCAATGGGAAATCGTTTTCCGGCAATTTTTATAGAAAGAAGAAATCTGAAATGTTCAGCGAATTTTCAGGTTCATCACCGAACAAAGTACGATATTGTCATGTAATTTCTCCCGAAGAAGTCAAATCTTACAGAAACTTGCCGACTTATTATGCCTGCAGAATCAAAAATTCTTGAACGTTCAACAATTTTTATGAAGCTGGTGCGTTATTTCTGCATTCCGTTCCGTAAAATTTCTCAATCGTTGGGGAAAAATTACGGATCGGCTTGTTGTCCCCACAGCGATGAGTCGTCAGATGGGTGGTTAATTTTTACGGAACAAATCGTAGAATTTACGTGGCGATTCGTACAATTTCAGTTCCGACTCACACTTTTCATTGAATTTTACTTCGCTCGCGGATTACGTTTCGACACGCAATTTTCACGTTTTTGTTTGGTAACTTTTATTGAATTTTTCTCTCCATGTAGCTGAAAAAATACGACTGCCGAAATTAAAATATGGTGGAGTCAGTTGGAGGAATTACTGTTGAACATAGTAAAAATTGAGAGTCAATAAGTAGAAAATAGCAGCATAAAAATTGAATTTTCAATTGACACGATTAAAATTTAGGAGGATAAACATGAATTTTTCCTTCGTCGGTTAAAAAAATATTCTCTTCCCCTTCCAAAATTAATATTCGCGAAAGAGAACGAGGGAGAGAGGGATTTTTTGAATAACCGAAATGTAAAACCATATTTAATCTTCTTTATCATTCTTGAGAATTATTATCAATAATTTTGCTCCACGTATATTCCACGTGTATTCCACGTATATTTTGAAAAAGAGGAGGGGGAGAGGAAGGATTAAATTGATTAGAATTACAGAATCCGCCAATCGGGCCATTGCACGGTCGACGGAGGGAGGAGATTCCAAGAATTGAAAACTATCGAAGCTCTCGTCGTCCGCTAGAATTTTTACTAATCAACATAGTAATTTCTGCTATTTCCTCGAGTAAAATGTAGGAGGAGCGAGAGTATAAATTAAAGTTTTAAATAGTAAGAAAAAATTACAGTTTAAGATAGTAAAAATTCATACGATTTGCGGAATTTCTCGTCGTTCAATAGTAAAAATTGGTTAAAAAAATGAAGCGTTTTATACTGTTTTATCGGTTAAAAATTACTACGGTAAATCGTAAAAAATGGATTTTCCATCGCAAACGTTCGAGTAAAATAAATCGAATTTCAAAATTTTTTCGGTATGGTCCTCAATTACTATATTCGCATAGCAATTTTAATGTTTATATTCTCTCCGTGTGGTGGGACAGATTGTTGAACTGTTCGCTGGGTTTCGAAAGAGCTTGCTTACCCATGTGAAACCTATACAGGCGATAGCACCGCTGAGCATATCGGCGACGATTGCCGGGTAGGACTGGGCGGTTGGGAAATATGCGTGAAATCTGGGGCTGTGCCAGTGTGTTACCTGAAATTTGTTATTCCCTTATTAAATGTGGAAGTGTTTTCACTGAAATGAGGCATCATTGTCGAGAATTTCGCACTGAAATTTCCGGTATACCCCTCGGGAATTTTAATCAAACTATAGTTTCACGGAAATTTCGAGAAATTTCATTATTGAAAATTCATAATTCGGATGAAGAAATAAAAAAGTACTAATTCCAATTCACTGGTGAAAGTTTCCACTAAAAGTTCTGGTAAGAATCTTAGAAATTTTTAACAAGTAATATTTCCACTGAAATTTCAAGGAATTTTGTCATTTAAAATTCATAATTTCATGGAACACACGGAGAGAAATATTTGATAAAAATTACGTATCTTTTCCGTAATTCCGGAGCGCAATGTGGTTGTAGGAAATTTTATGGAACTGTCATGGAATTTTTCCAGAGCGTTCGGTAATTTTTATCTGAATCTCCTGTAAAAAATTACGATACCATCACTTAAATTTTCTGAGTCCATTCCGTAATCGGTGAGCGAATTGCGAGTTTCGTAATTTTTACTGAATATTTCTCTCCGTGTAATCCATAAGAACTGGAAATTTCATATTAATTATTGGGGAGAAATTAATGAAAACTGAGGAATGCTTTTAATTAATCTTTTTAGAATTGACCTGCAAAAAAAATTGACACATCCTGTTTCATCACTTCAATTCTCAATAAATAACTCAACATTTTGTTCAATTCCTTTTGTTATTGTAATTAGTCTTACTCCTGGCATGATAACTCTCTCGATATCTCCCATGATATCCTCCCACCGTTCCGGTGCCTGTGGTGCCTCCGATGGCAACAGTGGCTTGATATATCCGGGCTCAACAGTCGGCAAAACGCGCCTACAAGAAGCAGAAAAACAAGAATAGGACATTTGACACAAGGTCGATGCATTGGTGCAACTTCCCAAGGATGAAATAAGAAAAAAACCTTCACCCACTGGATCGTTAATAACAACAGTCTAAATACGGCTATTACTTCTGATTTACAATCAGGAATAATCAGTTTCCTTGATCTCGTTATTCTCATTAGCAGGATATTGAATGCACCGGGGAATTATAAAAATCAGAACAATTGATTAATTATAAAACAATAATAATTGATCGTTCACACCTGTCTCGGATGTTTTCCAGGTAATTGGCGATAAAATCAGCCATTTCTTTAGCGAAATCCTTGAAGCTTTCGGAATCCATTGTGGGAGTCTCCTGCGAATAAACAGAGTTATCATATTATTTGGGACTAGGGGGTTTCGCTCCCTGCTCGCTCCGCTCGCCAACCCGGGGGGGGGGGCTTCGCCCCCCCC